AGCACATTCACATGATAATTGCTCTGAATTAAAAACACTGATCATTTATTGAACAGGATGGAATAATTTCATATTTAAAGAACTTTCAGAAGTTTGAATTCTGAATATGATCCGACTTGTCCTTTAAAATTGCAACATGTCAGTCATAAGGTCCTACACAGTCCTGCTATCCAAAATGACAGCAGATGTCATCAGACAATAAAATGGAATATTATTTTGTGGATACGATATTGACAGACCAGAGCAGCATACCCCATCACACAAACATACCCATAGTCAATACGTCTGATTTGCATTTATCCCTTTATTTTGCATGAAAAATAAACTTAAACTTCCTCAACAGGTGTGTATCCTTTTAGTAATTAACAAACTATTTAAGTTGAGATCACCATATACTTAAAAAAAACACCAAAAGGTCAGTAATTCAAAAGTTTTTTCGTACATGATTAAAGGAATACACGCCCATTAAGGTATTTTAAAGTATATTTTTCGTATGAAACTAAAGGGATAAACTAAACCTAAACTAAAGGAGTCTTCAACATTTTCCAGGCTAAGGACCCCAAACTGATGGCGAGATGGAGCAGGGACCCCCTAATCATATGGTATGAAATTGTGTTATATTAATCTGCTCCTATAATCACTCTATTACAGGTGGAGTAAGGTAACTAAAGTAATTTCCTCCTGGGATTATTAAAGTATTTCTGATTCCTGGTTGATGGGACAGGTGTTGTGAATGAAACGGTGCCCAGCTTGAAAGAGCTCCCGTGTGTCGCTGAATGTGTGCATTGATGACTAAGACATCTGTCTCCATTTATCTGTTTACTACAGTCTGTTGAATTCATGTAAATGTGGATTTAAAGACATTTCAATTAGTGGACCCCCTGTTGAAGACGTCCGAACTAAAGGGATAAACAGGTAATGACTGTGGTTATGCTGCTCTGACAGGGTATGCTGGTCTGACAGAACACCGGCAGGCAGGCAGGCAGCAGAAGCCCCTACTGTAGCTTCAGTTCAGAATAAACTCCAGTGTCACTAACATATTCCAGATTATTCCGCTTCTATACGAGACAAAAACGTTACCTGAAAACATTTATATCAACACTACAAACATACCAAGTTAGCGAAGTGTATCCCAGACAACCATTGAGCAAAAATGATGGGTCAAACTATTCATTCTCACCGAAGGTCATTTAATAACATTACATATAAGTTTAAAATTTCTACCAACCTGGAAGTTGCAGGAAGCTTTTATTCACCACTGTCCTGGTTTAGTTAGAACACGGCATAGCAAAGTTAGCTACCATAAGCTAACCTGCTCAACTAATTATATTGTCCACGTACCATAGCTCCGTAGCGTTTCAGAACAAAACACGGGGAAAAGCGCATTGGATTATATAATATTTGGATTTGACGTGTTTAATCTTAAAAGCTTGCAATCAGTAAGAAATGTGTAGAGAAGTATATCAGTGTTTGACAGCATGAAAACCAGCCGATAATAAAAAAAAAACGCATCATCCTCCTTAGAACGTCCGCTTTACCCAGTGTTTTGTCTTACAGGATATATTATGAGGAGACATTGTCTGAAAATGGAAAACACTGTTCAGCTGTTTGTTTTTTCAACAGTTCAATTTGATTCTTTACAATCTGGTAAGCGACTACATGAACATTTTACTTTTTTCTGAACTATGTGCCTGTACGGCAGAAAAACGGTCATATCTTAACAGTTCGTAGGTATCTGACTTCCGGTGTTGCACTAACGGTGGACCGGAGTGATACATGCATTCAAAAACATGACCGGGTTGAGTTTCCTTTTGTTTGTCTCACACACACGCTCGTTTTCTTAGTAAAGTGATCGATGGTTGATTAAACACACGCTTTTAAATATCACAAAAACTTGGAATGAACATGAGAAAGGAAGAAGATTATATAGGGTTAAAAAAAATCTGTAATACACAAAAATTAGGGAGAAAGAAGCAGAAGGGAAGAGATCATTTATACGAGACTAAGAACTTGACGCACCTACTTAAATGAGTTTTTGTTTAAACTAGGGAAGATAAATAATGATATCTGTGAGGGTTGTGGAGGAAAAGAAAATGTGGATCATGTTTTGATGATTTGCTAAAATTATGCAATTGAAAGAGCGGATGAGGGAAGTGATTGGGGGGAAGGGAGAGAACTGAGTATTACATTTTAGGGACAGATGGAGATAGGGAGGAAATTAGGTCATTAATAAAGAACTGTTTTTATTTTTACATAACACAAAATAAAAAAATAGAATAGAGTAGGTGAAACTTTAAAGCTGCACACTCTTGTACATTAGGTGGCAGTATCCATCAATAAGTTGTTTGCAATCAGCCAATCAAATGTAAGAAGAAGAAAAAGAAGCTTTTATAGGAAAGGGATTAAATAACTGACAAAAACAGCAAAGATGTTGAAATAGTGTGAGGATGAAGCAAGAAAGCAAAAAAATCCCCAAAAGTCTTTTTGACTAATGGGAATTTTGCTGTTCAGAAAGATGAGTTATTGGGATTTGAAATATTTGGGGCACAGACCGTCCCAAATAAATGTTTCATCCTTACATATCTGAATAATTTTATAATAAAAAAAAATCAAATAACGGCATCATTGTTTTCTGACCAAACTCTTTTTACTAAATTGAATTAAAAAAGCAAAAACACTAAAGCGTTGTCTTGACTGAAATTCTGGGCTAATGGAATAGGTTAAACTTAATTTGGGAGTTCAAAAAATACATATTGTTAGGCCTACATTAGATGCTAAGAACATGATTGAATACATTTTTAGAAGATATTTAAGTCTTCAGTTCCATCTGAAAAAAAAAGTTGTGATTCTGTTCAACAGTTTTCTAAGAGTCTCTTTGTTCCTCTCTGTAAGAATATTTAATCTGATCATTTCATGGAGTTGCTTTTTTTTCTTTTTTGGAGCATTATCTGAATCCATAATTTGGGAACCTGATGTTTAGATTATTTTGAATTTCCCCTTCATTCAGTGTTCCCAAAGTCCTTTGTCTTTTTTCTCAGTAGTAAGATTATCTTTCTTTTGCATGTTAATAAATTCTTGCTAAATGTTCTGCCTTGTCTTAATTATTCCATTTTTTCGCTCTTTCATACAGGGGGGATTTACCATTAGGCAACACTAGGCAGTTGCCTGGGGCCCCAAGTTCCTGGGGCTTTGCAGGCTAACAAAAGAAGCCGAACGACCCCAATTCCAAAGGGGTGGTCTCGTTCGTCCATTAAAATTTGCATTTTTTCTAAACGAAAACAAAACTTTGTTGGGCTCACGTATATAAACCTTGAACTCAACGCTATTCCTGACATTTTGAACTGAAAAAG